TATTTAAAGGCCACAATTCAAAAAGCCAGCCAGCTGTGTTTAAAAGAGAAGAGCAATTTTTTACAGAAAGTGGCCTTTGCCTCTTCAAAGCTGGGATTGCCTTCTGGAAGCTTTCTTCTTGGTCTTAGAAAGTTTCAGGAGTTAAGTTTAACTTTGTTTCTTCTCTATTAAAAAAAGAAAAGAAAAAAAAATTTCTTGGAAGATACAGATTGTCTGTCTCAGTGACAGCATAAGTATGCATAGCCTCAAGAACACGGTTTGCTACCAGATAGTCCGAGCCTTCATTTTAGAAGGTGTTACTCAAAAAAGAAAACCCATTTGTTATCCATTTCTTTGGAAATGATACTTTGCCTGTATCAAAACTACCTCACCACATATTCCCTGACCAGTATTTGTGTAGCCACTATTCCTCCTTAGCCATAGAATATTGCACTTTTCCTTCCTTTCCTTGAATATGTTCTCCCACATCAGATTTCTCTCCAGTTTTATCTGCACCATTTCACGGCATGAGTTTGTTCCGATGCATTTACCTTTTTTCTTTATAACCGCAACCTTTTCTAATGTCTATTCTGTATATACCTTGCATGTTCTCCAGTCACATTTGTTTAACACCTTCCTTCCTCTGATTCTAGGCCCATTAACCATCCAAACGCAATTTCTGCGAGGAACTGGCAGGCACAGACACAGAACCTCATCCCAGGAGATCTTACTTACCAAGAGCGTTTATTCAGGTCTCCTTTCAGCAAAACCACCGTTTGCATTTTTGCTCGCTGCACTCTGAGCATCGCCAGCTACAATCTTGCAGTCTCATCCAAACTCTTGCAGTTTGATATTCCAGTTAACCAGAAGCAGATCTGCAACGACTTTGTCTCTCCTTCCTTTCTCTGCATTAAAACATCAGTAAATTCTTCAGCTGTCCTGCAGGTGCTCTGATGCACATTCCTTTTCCTCTGCCAGTAGCCTGGCTTGTTTGCAGCCCCTACAGTAAAAGCCCATATGTTAGGCCCATATTATTATCCTTTTTATTTCTTGCACTATATAGAAACTGAGAGGCACAGTCTGCGACCCACCAGGCTAACTTGAAATCTACAGTACAGTCCTCATCAAGTTTACACACTAACTTGAAAAAAAAAAATCTTGCTCTTGTGAGAAGTACGACTCCAGCCTTATCCTTGGAAGGATGTTTTAAGGAAAACTCCCACTCCTGAAGGACACACACCTTCCTGTGGACAGACATTTGACTAGTCAGACTGCAAGCTGACGAGCGCTCAAGCAGCTACATTAACCAGTGATATGATACAACAGCAAGGAAGTTTCTGGCCTTTATTTGAAGGCTTTCAACAGTTACAGTAAGAATTGTCATTGCAAACCAGGAATTTTAAAAAAAAATTGAACAATAGAAGTTAAAAAAACATCCACAAGTCCACCTGCAAGTCAGACATGTTGGTACAGAACGGAGATGTGAGCTTTTGCTTCTTCCATTCTGTACATTTTTCAAATATCTGATAAAACTAAGATACTAAGAGAGGTTGGATGCTATCGGAATTGTTCCAGCAGGTGAGCATTTAATATTTAACAGCATATACTGTACCAGTTAACAGAGTAGCTATGTTAAGTCTATGGGTTTGAGTTGGGCTTATTGTTCTTGTTTTCTTCCCAAACAGGACATTAAAAAAACATATTGTGCCAAGATATCTATAACGTAGCCACAAGTTGACTACATGAGTTTGTTCCCATTTTATTTATAACTCATCTTGGTAGCAAAGTAGTGATGTAAGCAGTTGGAAACCTTAGCAGCATTTGACTTACAAGACTGCAGTTCCAGTTTAGTTTTATAATGCACGTCCAACAGGTCCACACATTCACCAGTCTCACAAGGCGCACCAGCAGTATTTCTGACTCATCGTTCTCTTAGCATAAAAGGATGTTTGCTTGCTTTGCTAGCAGAGATCAAAATCAACCTAACGCAACCCATCCGATGACCTGGGTGCTTCACAGTTCCATACGTGCAATCCTGTCAAAAAGAGACTTGAAGCAACCACATCCCAGCGCGCAACTGGACTGCAAAGAGCAGACACGTACTATTGCCATCTTTTGCTTTGAGTTGCTGGAATAATGGAGCATTTAGAGCCAAAAAATATGCTTCCAACCTCAAAGCAAGTAATAGTAAAGAAGATTTTATGTGCATCAACCCCCCCATTCCATGTCTGCACTTCCATAGCCCAACATCAGTTTTGCAATACCAGTAGGCAATGCCAGCAATGCCCATTCTTTAGAATAAGACATCCACAGAGCACTTCAGGGGCAGGGAGGGGTGTTCTCCAGCATGACAGAGAAGCCCTGCAGGCAGCTCTTCCAATTTCAAGGTTAGGTACATCACATAAGCACTCCTCTGAAGATGCTGGTCTCTGCACACATCTGTGACAGTAACATTTAAGCTCATCTATGAAACACACTTCAAAAGAAACAAATCAACAAAGTTTAGAGTCAATCTGCTCATAGAGACTGGTGACAGATACAATTAACATCTTTTTCTAACTAATAAACAGTGTTTTAGCCATTTTCAAACACTTCAAACACACTTAAAGCCATGTGACAGAATTCCTATTATACAGCCCCATTTTCACACCATTAGAAGAGGGAAGCCAACAATACATTCACATTTCATCCACTTGTGGGAGGGAGAAAAAAATTAAAAATAAAGAAAAAAAGAACTCAAGCAATGGTTTCCCCCAGAACACTCCAAAAGAAGTTTCAACATTACTGCTACCCAAGTTAGCAATGACTATAACTAGGACTGGAGAAAGCAAGCTGATATTCCAGGTCCTGCAAGCTTCATCATGAAAACTATCACGAACTTCAGCTTTGCCTAATCATATCTGAAAGCATGAGAGACTCCAGTAGACATGACACTCTTGAAATACAGAACTTTATTTAGAAACTGCTTAAAATAGAAAAACCCTGTCAAGAAAAATCCAAGTCAAATATGGTTTCTCAGTAAAATGGAGTTTTAGGGCAACAAAAGTCTAAAAGGCCACAAGAGAAATAGCACCACTGCAATTTTAAACAATGGCTAGATACTTGCATTTTTGGCATTCACTGAATTTGGGTTTTTCTCTGAATTTCACAAAGATTCATGCACTACACAACATTTACCATAAAATGCTCTCCTACACACATTTGAGGACAAGCTACCACCAGGAACAAATGAATACAAGCACAACAGGACTGATCAATCTCAGTAGTGAAGGGGGATCAGAAGTCTTGCAGGATCTTGCCAAACACAACAGTAATGAGGGGCTTGATAGCAAAAAAGGACAGTTAAGGAAAGGATTTAAATATTAATATTTAAGTTAGTCTCAGTACTGTATTTTCTGCAATAACATTAGCTCTGTTAGCCAGCATCTTTTAGTTTTTACCCCAGAAGACTACTGAACTGGCAAGTATTATTATTAGATATGCCCTGGTTTGAAAGGAAAAAAAAAAAAAGAAAAAAGATGCAGAAAAATCATCATCCTCATGTGCTCAATTCACTTTCATTCTAAGATAGTTGCACAGTGCAAGTCCTGTTACAGCTATCGGATTTGATCAGCATTCCTTGGGATGGGAAAGAGAAAAGAACAAGTGAGAGACCAAAAAGTATACCAACAAAAATAAAAAGAAACAGGACAAATAGAAACAAGAGCCAGGAAGCAAAATTACTTCTGAAGAACATTTTAGGCAGTAAGACTGAATGCCCTTCGCTTTTTTTGATGGTTTGTTTTTTTTGTTTTGTTTTTCTTACAGAAAACACAGTACATTTTGGCAAAGTCATTAGCCACAATGCCATAGAAAAAGGCTTTAGCACTCTTCTAGGTAATTTATGTGTCTCAGCTGTTCATACTCCCTCTAATCTTGTGACAGGCAACGTTAAGGCCTATTTCATCGAGAACTAATCACTTAGTAAGCAGCTTTACATAGGAACCGAGTTTTGTTTTAATAGCCCCTTTTGAGCAGTTGCTGACAAAGTGAGATTGCCATGCAAGGCCTCTCGGACAGCAGTGAATGGAGTTAAACAAGCGTCTACCCCAATATGAAGCACATAAAATCTCCTGTCACATTACTTCAATTTGGCATATGGAAGCATATTTTAAATACTCTTAAGGCATTTTACTATAATTTCCATGCTGCAATTTCACATTAACTCAATCTTTCTGTGAGTCAGAGTCTTTAATTTCTCTACTACACACCACCTTAGATACAAAAAGAGTCTTCCCACAAACCAGTGTTTCACCAGCAAACCATTCTGCAACAAGTTCCAAATATTCAGCCTCTTGCTCCCTAAATATACCACCTAGATGTGAATACTGCTCTGCTACAAAGTGAGAAAGAGCTCCTAACTCAAACCCACTGTAAAAAGTGAAACTTCTGCAAAGTGCACTTTAAGAAGAGGTACTTTTTTGCTTATGAAAAGAAACCAGTGAGTCCTCTAAGAATAAAGTGGAGTATTTTACAGTTAAGCACATGATCTGGGGCAAAGAATTCTGATGTTGCTGCTCTGCTGGTACAGTACGTGGTCTGTTAATACTCTTCTTGTTCCTCCTGCGGTGCTCCTTCGTCAGGTATCACAAAGCCTTCCTGAAGGGGAATAAAACAAGTGCTTTAATGAAAATCTGATGTCAAACTAGTTCCTGGCTACTCTATAAGCTCTTTTTTTTTTTTGTCCTTTTACTTAGGATAAATACCCTTAAGTCACCATTTACAGTGTCAAGATATATTACCAGTAGGGTTATTTTACTAATCTTTGATCTATTTGTTATATACTCTTCATGAAAGGCTAACCTTGTTTGCTGCCTGATTATAATTATGTTATCTGTTCCTTTATGACCTAGCTTTTTCCTGTAATAAAGAAAAAAAAAAACAGAACCAACCAAGTAGAAAGAGGGAGCCCTGGAAAGCAAACCAGCTTCCAATTACAAGAGAAGGGAGGAACCATGCAATACAATTTATACCAGATTACTTACATCTGTGGCATAAAGAATTTCCACAATCCTCTGCAACACTGGATCATTCTCCCCTTCATTCTCCTGGCAGATCAATTCAATGTTCCTCAATTTGCCAAAGTAGAAGTCTCTCTCCTTCTCCAGATCTTCAACAGTAAGTTTCAATACATTGATCTGCCAAAGGGCATCAGTAATAATTTATCCAACAAAGAGAGAATTCAGTAGTATCTACTCAAAAGCCAGGTCCCCAAAGTTCTCTGAAAGGTGATAATATGCAAAGCACTTCAGAAGTAACTAAGATGGGGGGCAAAAAGGGGGACTGTGAGAGGAGGAAAAGGCCTGTTCCTCAAACAGTAGTATTATTGCCACAAGAAACACCCAGTCCAACACATGCAATACCGCCTGGAAATTCTAAAGGCTTATTGCATGAAATAGGTAAAACACTAACTGCCTGCAGTTTTCTTTGCTAGCACATTCTTTCAAGACAACTCTCACACTGACGGCAGTTTTAGTTGTATTACATTCAGCACTTCAGTGAAGTAGCAGCTGCTCATAGCTCAGTTGGAATGCTGTGATAGCTGCAACACAGCTGTGGAAATACTTAAAAACAATGCTATGTGTGATATGGCACATACTAGGTTTAAATGTCTTGGTACTCATGTACCACAGAAGGTGTTTCGCTCCTGTCAGGAGAGCAAGACCATTACAACGAAGGCTTCCAATTAAGTGATTTTAAATGAGCTTGCTTACTAGATTCTCTAGATTTTCTTCCATCTGCCTGACCCAGTCATTTCATGCTATTAAAAAAAAAGTCTGCACACAGGTCTATAAAGCACAGGTCAATACAGAAGGCCATTTTGGTCAACACACCTGCTCAATCAATCCTGCTGACTCATCGTCTCCTGCAGCCTTTTTGACCATTCCAGTACCAGTTTTTGGAGTTGCTGCAGTCCTCTGTGTAACAATGGGCCTCTGTGGGGCTGCAAGATTAACTCAGTGTTAGTTCCCCTCAGAACACCTTTCTTCCTATAAAGGTATTATCCCCCTTCCAAACATGCTTAGGCGTGTAAGAGTTTGAAGATATGCTCCTTCCTTCTTCTTGACTCCATGTGATATGTCCCTTTTTTTTTTGGCATGTGTTGGCACCAATCCTTGCCATTTTCTCTGTTAGAGAAGATTGTTCTTTCTGTAGCCTCCAGATAACTGGGTACTACAGGATGACTCAGTGTTTGAGGCCTAGCATCTCTGAAACAAGATGCAAAATACTGTAATTTCATACACTGATTTTAAATAGCAACCCAGTCTTATTTTCCCAGAGTTCTTAACGATCTAGATAATCTTTTAACTATTTTCTCTACCTGCACTGCTAGAACTGAGAGATTTCTTGGGTTTGTTCACAACTGGAGCAACAAGGTTTGGTGCTACTGTCTCTTGGCCTTGTCGAGCAGCAACAGGATCATACTCCTTCCCATCATAGTTTGCATCAAAAAATTTTTTGAACCACTGAACAAATTCAAAGTTGTCCTGAAATTTTCCTTTCACTAGTTTGTCCACAGGAATTATCTGGAGGGGGGGGAAGAAAAAAAAAGTCAAATTCATATTAAGGGCAAAGAATCTCTCTCTCTTTATATAAAGTTTTAAAATTAGTGCACTAGGAAGATATGCAAATGTAATTCTTTGTGCAGTCTAGAGAAAATCCTACTTGAACATAACTGTATGTCAAATAGTAGGATTTTTAATACTAATTGGAATTAAAAACAAACCGTGCTTTCAACTGTGAGGGTCCAAATAATTTTAAATAATTCTGCAGCAAGGTTTCTGCTACATCAAGTTTCAACACAAAACTTCTTTCTGTAAATTTGAAGCTGGCTGACCCAGTGCTACCTTTCATGAATCTGAACTGATGACCGAATTCACAGACTGCTAGCACACAGAACTGCTGCAAGATCTAAACATCACCTTTTTAGTAGATTACAATTACAGTTTCCCTTACATGAGGAGTATAACTGAAGATTATTAACAAGATGCAGCAAATTGTGAAGTCTTGTTTGTAGGCCACGAGCTGAGAGTCCATGACCTGGCAGAGGCCAGGAGCCATTACCATTATGTGATCATTCGGCACCTGAAAGCACAGCTGCCTGTCCAGTTCTGGACATACTGCACAAACTACTTCCCCCAAGCAGAAGACAATTAAGTATTGAAGCTGCTAGCCAACACAGAATGAGACGTCGCCTTAAAGACAGGAAAAAGCTTTAACACAGGAATGTTCTGCCATTCAGCAAACATGCTGCCAGGAACTGTTACCTAGATAAATCACCCTTCCATAAGCATAACTATCATTCAATCCAAAAAAAGTTTTTTCCACAGACGTCATTTTCACTAGCTTAAAATTATACATGCTTGTAAAGAGGAATTTGAAATCCTTAGGACTACCACACAAGTAGGTTATGGGAACATACCTGGTACAAAGATGGTTCAGACAGGAAGCTCAAGTAAACCTTAACTCAGAGAAATGTCGATATTAGTCTGTGCTACATAAGTTGCACAGAATTAAAATGGAAAAATTCATCTCGCCATTAAGAACTGGAAACCTAACCTTAGTTGAAGTAAAGCAGAGAGTGCCCTAAAGCAAGTGAGGACCCCAATGCAAAACCAAAAGTTTTGAGATTTACAAACCAAAAGTAAACTCTGTTCCCAGATTTACTCAGCTCTAAATTTAAAAGTACATTCCATCTACTTTGATATTAAGAGCACAGAGACTCAGTTACAGCCCAGCTTACTTTGTCAACACCCATTCGTTTAAAACCTGCTTGTAGAACCTTGAAGTTTTGAATGTACTCATGTTCCAATTTTGCTTGAAACTTCACTTTCTTGAGTGCTACAGAACCTGGGAAGAGCATGTCCATAAACTGACAGTATGCAGCACCTGCCAAAAGAAAAAGAATACAAATCCTAGGATGAATCAAGCCAGCTCACTAGCCTACGTAAGTTACTTTTCAGTGAGATCAGCGAACTGACCTGACTCATTCCTCAGCTACACAATCCCTTAAAGGCAACAAAAGCAAGAAAACAGGAACCTTCAGTCTCCTGTTTTGGTGCAGCATGGCTGTAAATAAGCTTAAGCAAAAGTTTGGTTCTGCAGTTTGGTCTCATGACTTGAACTTTTATGAACAAGAGCAATCCTGCTTCCATAATTCCAAAAGAAAAAAAAATATCCAATGAGTAATTTGACTTTCCTTCTTCACGGATATCAGTGCAGACCTGAGACATTACATGTGTCCAACAGGCATGTAATCTCCTCTTATCAACACTAATAGAAGTAAACTAGAAAAAAAATTATTCTAAAAGTCATATTTAATCATTATTAAAATAGCGATACATTTACTTACTACAAACGGAACCTATACACAATTCAAGGTGCCCTCAAAGGCAAAAGGCCAAGTTAAGCTGGATTATATTTAAATAAAGACTTAATCAAAGAACTGAAATGAGACAGTGTTTCTTTCTATTAATTTTAAATCCTTCATGTACTTCAATTCAGCTCTTACCGTAATAAGAGCAAAAGAGGGATTCAGTTGAGTCTCAAAGATTAGACAACCACCTCCAAAAAAAATAGCTTTTGTAGAACATATACACCCATTAAAAAAAAGAAAGATATTTTTAAACTATATCCTCACTCTACAGTGATGATATGCAACTGTGTGCCACTGAAAATATAAGCACAACATTCTGAGCATTGCTCCCCCACCAATATCAATGAACTAAGTGCACACAGAGTGTAATGGAACCTTAGCCTAAAACACCAAACAGCCACACGACAAGCTTCGTGTGGCATCATGATGCTGCCCTAAACTGGTCTATTCATCTCAAACATAGCTAAGAAAGTCCTATATTGTTCACGTTCTATCAAGATATTTTGCAGGTCTTTTGGGGCTCCCCCTTTCACCTGCTACTAGAAGATTGCTGCTCATCGACGGGTACAAATAAAAAAAAAAAAAAACAACTTGCTGTTTGATCTCCACTGTCTTTCCATTCACTTGCTGAAGAACTCCAATGTCCAGCTCAAAAAAAAATAGATGACTTGCTAGAAAACAGGGTTTTGCTAACTATTGGCAGTTTGAGCAATTAGCTGATTAAAAAAAAAAAGAGAGAGAGATAAGCCAAAGGTCATCTTTCGTGTATTTATGCAACCTCAAATTGCTGCTGTCACTACTGCCCTTGCCAAAGGTAGCAAAACGAGCTTGGAAACTCCTGTTTTCACATGACTACAACAGACAGTGAAAGCCACTTCCATACCTGCAGAGGCATGAAGTATTTTTGCAGACACAGGAAAGGGACATTACTCAGCGCATACCACATCAACAACCCTCAGCCTTTTCCCGAAACCAGGTGAGCTGAAATTCTGCAGAGCCAGTATTAATTATCCTCACTTCTCAGAGTCGGAGCTCTCACAGGATTCAAGACACACCAATTTAAGCAAAACTTCTGAGATGCATAAATAAACAACACACACAACATGTTTTTAACCTGCCCATCTGAAAGCAGACAATGCTTACCACTTCCCTTACTTCTGTGATTGTAGATCTTTAGTTCCTTCATCCTTATAGTTTTTCTCCATCAACTCGCTAGACAAAAGCCACTACAAATACCTGTCAGATGTCTACTGTAAGCCTCCTATTTCTCTGTAATCTTTTTGAATGCTTCTTCCCTGGTCTCAGCTGCAGTCTGTATTGACAGTCACAAACTTATTTAAAATTTATTCCTCCTTTTATTCCACCTCCAGTTTCCACATTTCTCATTCTCTGAGCAACACCTCATCTCAAACTCCCTGTATGAGCTGCACTTCCTCTTTTCACCAAGTCCCTTTCACCTGCCTGTTGCAGTTATCCAAATCACCATCTTTTACCTAGGCTGCATTTTTAGCCTTCAGTTTTTTTCAGATCTTACTCCATAGACTATTATTTTTTATTCGTTTCTACAAGCCTCCTCCCACACACATGCACGCTCCTCCCTATGATGACACTTGACTCCATTCCTGTACCACAATCACTTCCCCTTTTCTGCCTACAACTCCATCCGAGATTCAGCTGTGCTAAAGTCAGCTCAAGCTAAAGTAAGCTCGGGTGACACAGACTGACACGGTCCTTTACCATAAGGAGTTGTAAAGTCCTGAAGGCGAATCCAAGAGTCACCAGTATGCCTTCTTCACATCGCTCCTTCTGCCCAACCTCCCAAATCTCCTAGTAGTTGTCTTCCATAAGAATTCACATTTGTTTATGCTACTTATTACACTTGTAAGACTTAATCTATCCGCCAAGACTAAATGCTTAACTCCTCATTGGAAAGCACCCTCTCCTATGAGTCTTTTCTCCATGTTAACCCCCATTCCTTTTTCTTGCATCTACACCGCAGTGAGTCAGAATAATGTGCCTTTTCACAATGCTTACATTATTAACAACCATTTCAATAAAACTCTAACCATAACTGGATTCTCACATTGACCATGTATCTGTTCACACCTGAAATTTAGCCAACCGCATGGCTACAGAGGGCCAGCACAGGCGGTTCACACGGTGCAGCTGTATTTCTGCAGAACTAGGGAGCACACCAGATTTGGACCCCGCCCCACGCTGAGCCCCCTTACCTGAGCAGAGCTGTTCAATCTTTGTCAGCGTCAGCTGCAGAGACTCATTGATCCACGCGAGCATGTCATGTCGACTCAAGTTATCACTAGTCACTGAAGTAGAATACACATTAACTGCCATTTTCTGAAAGACAGAACCAAAGGCGTAAGTACCACAGATATTAACGCCACACGTTTTCATCGCTTGCCTCAGGACACGCTCACTAGGTTGCGGTGGAGGTGCTTCTTTCGGAGCCTTCGCGACACAACAGCCGAGCACGATGCAAGGGAACTGCCTGCTGCTAACAGCTGGCCGGACCTGTGGAGTTCGTCACATCTGTAAAGGACGCGGTTTCGTGCTTTTTGAAGAAAAATTAACAGCAAAGCACCCACATGGAAACACCCATGAAAGGAATCACAGCCGCGGC